ATGGGAAACCCACAGCCGACACCCTCCTAAATGGAGGAAAAACTTGAATCAATCCCATTGACCTCAGGAATCTCGAAGAACTAATTTGAAGCATTAGACAAAAGAAAATAATTAGATATCCCAAAAATTATTCCGAAAATTTCTATAAATTATACATTCAGCAGTGTGGCAGGATATAAATCAACTTACACAAATCAATAGCTTTTCTATACCTCAACAAGCATACTGAAAAGAGATCATGGACACATTCCCATTCACAGTAGCCAAAAAGACAACAACACATCTAGGAAAAAAACTAACCGAGGAGGTGAAAGATGTTTACAATAAAAATTTATAACACTACAGAAAGAGACAGAGAAAGGTGCTGAAAAATGGAAAAATATCCTATGCTCATGAATTAGTAGAATTAATGCTGTGAAAATGATCATTTTAACAAATGCCATTTACAGATTCATTGAAATTCCAATCAAAATCCCCCATCTCATTTGTAGAATAAATTGAAAGAAGTAGAAAAAAAACTATCCTAAAAGTCCTAGAGAATACCCTAAGACCATGGATAGCCAAAACAATCCAAAACAAAAAGAACAATGCTGTAGTTACCATTTCAGTTCGCAAGATATATAAGACATTCATAGCAATAAAACCAATATGATATTGGCAGAAAAACAGACATGTTAGCCCATGGGACAAAACTGAAGACCCAAACCTGAGTACATATAACTTCAGTCATTAATTATTTGACAATGATATCAAAAACATACACTTATGAAAAATGCACCTTTCACAAATGGTGCTGGGAACACTGGATATCCACAAGCAGAAGTATGAACTTAGACCTGGGGCTAACAGCTTGTATAAACACTCAACTCCAAATGAATTAAAGATCTAAATAAATGTGAAACCTGCAACATGGCAACTGTCCAGAGAAAACGCAGGCAGCACTATACATAACAGAAGTGTAGGAAGGGACCTTCTGAGCTCATTCGCTCAAGAATTAATGCCAACAATCGACAGGTGGGACTTCATAAAACTCAAAAGCTTCACAGTTTAGGAAACTGTCAACCAGGTGAAGAGAAAAGGTACCAAGACTAACATAGACAAAAATTATGGGTTAATTTAAGTTGTAAGAGCTGGTTAATAATAAGCCCAAGCTAATAGGCCAAGCAGTTGATAATTAATAAAAGCTTCTGTGTGTTTCTTTGGGACTGAAGGGTTGTGGGACCAGGCGGGCCAGAAACTTCCATCTATAACAAGGCATCTCACCGAGAATTAATATCCAAAATATAAAAAAGAACTCAAAAAACAGTCAAAACACCACCATCTGAAAACAAAATTTAAAAACAAAACCACCCACTCAGAAAATGGGCTTAGAACCTGAACACGAAGTGCTCAAAAGAAATGAAATACCTCAAAAATGTTTATCACCCCTAGCAATCAAAGAAATACAAATGAAAATAACTGAGATTTTATATTATTCCAGTCAGAATGACAAAGATCAATGTAACAACAGAAAACAAATGATGGAGGATGGGGTGGAGGGGCAGTCACTGTTGGTGGGATTGTAAACGGGTGTAGACACTCTGGAAATCAGTGTGGAAAATTCTCAAAAGCTAAAAATAAATCTATCCATTCCTTGCCATAAGCCCAAAGATTCTATAAATATTTTCTGTTATTTTCATTGCTAATCTAGTCATAATACCTAGGAAATGGAAACAACCTAAATGATCTTCAGCCAAATGTGGTACATATAATATACTGAAATATTACTCAGCTATAATGAAAAACTAATTCATGCAATTTACATGTAAATACATGGTTCTATAATAGATGATATTGAATGAGGTAAGGGAGACACAGAAAGAGAAAAGACACATGCTCTCAATCTGAGTGTGAATATATATTGGAGTAACTGCAGAAACCAGGAAAGTAAAAAGAGACCAAAGCTGTGGTAGGGGAGCAAGAGAAACAGGAATAGCAAGGTACAAGTTTTCTCACAGGGAAATGGGTCAGAGTGTAGAAGGGGAGTAGATAAATAGAGAAGGAGGGAGAAAGATAAAACACTAGCAAGGATATCTGAATAAATCATAAGGAATTATAATACTAACTGCCTAAAATACATATAACTGCATATTGCCACGCCAGCACGGCAACTGCCATTCTTCTGAGCGAGGGACGCCGGGATTAACATGCAACACAACTTCAGGTTCTGCAGACAAGCCTTTATTCCACTTTCTCACACAGTATATAGAGCCCTCAGCAGGGGAGGCCAAGACAGCAAAAGCAGGAAGCTCATTACTGTAACTCAATGGCTCAGGGGTAAACATCCTTAGAAACATTGCTGAAAACAACAGATTGTTCCTGTTTTTGTTCCTGTTTTCAACCAAGTGCAAGAGTGCAAAACAGATCAAGTGGGGGTGCGAAAGCCTGTCCTCTAGGGACCCAACACATATAAACATACATATATGGTTTAAATGAAAATTTCTCATCTGGGCTGACAATTCTCTCTCCAAGATCCAAAGACCCTCTAACAAAAACCTTAACACCAGGCATGAGTTCTTTTGAGTTGTTGTCCACCAGAGATTTCCAAGAGACTTCCAAAACACTGTTCTACAGTGGGTTTCACCCCTCTTCATGCTGCAGTCCTTTAACAGTTCCACACGCTGTGGTGACCCCCCGACCATAAATTTATTTTCATTGCTACTTCATAATATAAAAAATTGCTACTGTTATGAATCACAATGTAAACATCAATGTTTTCTGATGGTTTTTTGACCTGGAATGGGTCATTTGATCCCCAAAGGGTTGTGACCTACAGGTTGAGAACTGCTGCTGTATTACATACCTTGTAATGCCACTGCTACTGCACTTGGTTATCTCCCAGAGTTGGATAGTAAGTTAAGTCTCCTTTGTTGCTAACACCATGTATTCCAGACAAAGGGCTGAGAGGAACCTGAGCTGGAACTGACCTAAATGATTGCCTGCTTTTTGAGGACCAGCTTTCATGCAATTAGGAGCCACACAAGTTTGAAAAGAGAGAAGCAAGAGTCCTATTCAGCTTTGATGCCTATGAATCACAACAATGACCAGCATGGCATAATAAACCTAAGGTTGCAGTAATGCCACACATAACTGGTCATTAATCAACAGTTCTCTTGTATTTTTGGTTGTGAGCCTAGCCTTTAATGGCTGAGCCATCTCTCCAGGACAATCAACAATTTTCTAATTGGACTTAAGACCCATTCAACAAGAGGGGGGAAAAAAAACTGGTATTGGCAACCTAGACAACTGCTCTGGGCTAAAGAGATGGATCTTGGAGGAAAACCTATAGTCATCACTTTACAAAACCAGCATAATCCCTAACTAATTTCTAAACATTTGTCCTTATACCCACAGCTAAGTATAATCTTCACCCCTCATCAAGAAAAGTTCTCTCTGAAAGAGACTTGGAGACTGTTAAAGCAAAACACAACTAATAGGTTTCTAACTCCATGATAAGTTTCTCCACCAACATAGTAAGCCATATCAAGCTGAACTGAAAACGTTTAACAACATGTGTATTAAGCAAAGGAACTCCGGGGTAGATTCACTGGCCTCAAAGAAGGAGGCCAGAGAAGTTGTGCGTCCAAGCCAAGGCAGGGAGATTATATAGACTGTAGTTGAGGGGTGATGACGTGTCTGTTATAAGCTGTTTTTGGGCCCAAGTATAGTCAAAAGCTAAGTGCTTAGGCAGGGACGTGGGCTACTGGCTGCAGCAGGGGACAAAGTTGCAATAGCTGCCAATAACGCTTACCTGGGTTTTTTTGTACCTTTTCTTTGTCTGCAGACTTTCTAAATTAGTCAGGTTTAGAGAAAGAGATAGGAACGGGGCTTTCAGAACAGTGCAAAGGTGAGTCAGAAATTACAACTGAACAACAACCAATCAAAATGCAGTTGTAGATCCCAGTCAGAAGGGATATATCTACAATTCAACAAGAGCACCTGAGGGTCCAGGATCATGGTTCAAGAAGGAGATGGAAAGTTTTTAAGAGGATCACGGCATTTGCTGTGAGATTGTGTCTTCTAGAAATATCAGAAGCTAGGCCCTTCAAATCTCACCAACAAGACTGCTTAGGCAAAAGCTGAACAAGAACAACAGACATGATAATATGACTGATGGTGGGTAAGGTAGGGGTAGAGCCCTGAAGCCCTCAACCCCAACACGAAATACTACTGAAACTAAGGAAAGTGTCTTCTACCAGCAAGAGCACTCCAATTGGTTATTCAATACCAAATGGTCATCCCTGAAAACGTGTATAGTACATAGAGGTAACATCAAACAGACTAAGGAGGCTGTATTTATGTATTCATAAAACACCCCCACTCCAATCGCCCATACACATATGCATAAACAATTCATGGCAAAGAAGGTTATTAATTTGAAAACCAGAATGGAGAGATCTGAGTGACTAAAGGTAAGGGATAAATATAATAATACTATAAACTCACAAAAATAAAAGATACAATTTTTTAAAAAGTATGAACAAAGCAGATACAATTTCTGGTCTTTTAGGACTCCTCTGAGGTCCTAAATACAGAATATTCATCTCAACATTCTCCAGCAGGTTGACTGCAGCAGTGTATGAGTGAAAGGTTCTTTTGAGTTTATTTTTGAGTCTGGATTCCAACCTCGGTATCTTATTTGATTACACACGTATGGAAAATGTTCTATTTTATAATCCTAATAAGGACTTAGTGTATGTGCATGCATACACCATGTGGTGGGTATATGAGAAGTTTCCCATGGTGTACTTATAGGTGATACCGTGAAGCACTTTGTTACTCTTAGTGAGCTGTTTTAAGACTATGCTGTCTAAGCCTGTTTTTTAATAATAGCAAATATTTAAAACTATCAAAAATACAAGTTTCCCTATGTAGAAGTCACACAGTATGTGAAATTTAAATTTTCATGCTAAAGCAGACCTTTTTGAGAAGACGCAAAGAAACCCAAACAAGCCAATTAATTCTGAATAAGTAGTAACAATTTTATTTTAACTCAACGTGCTGAAACACAAAATCTATTTCCAACATCAAGACACAAATAGTATGGATCTCATCATAAAACACCAACTGATTAAATAAAGGCCAAAAAGTTAAATGTTTATATATCTGAATCTTGAAGGAAGTCAACTTCCTTCAGAACTAATAATTAAATAACTTTAGCAGAACTTTATTTCCATAAATGGGCTCAATTCATTTTTAAGCAATGCAAAATTGACTAGATTATAGTATACAATAAGCTTTACTAACAGGAAAATATTTAAATATAAGTATTCCTTCTCAGACACAAAGTTCACATACAACAACAGAAGATACAGTGTGATCTCTTATTCCTAGTAAAGAAGTCTTGCATTGAGGCACTCAGTATTTGTTCAGCTAGACCTAACATTTACATCATTCCATGAACACTTAAACTGGAGCTCACAATCTCTATATAAAAAGGTTTGCAAAATATTCTCATGTGTGCTGAAAGTGCTGTATTTATACTCTGAGAACACTGAAACAACTCACTCACTCACCCAGGCACGTCCGAGTCAGGTTAGTTTACCTCTTAAATTATGTGGCTTTTAATAAACTTGCTGAGCTGGATTTTCATGAAGCTTACACAAGTCTTCACTGCATTTTTCTAACAATGAATACTATCTTTGAATCCTCATTTTGTGTGTGTGTGTGCGTGTGTTGGTGGTGCTATGGATCCAACCTAGGGATCACAAATGTTGATCACTCTACCACTGAGCCACTCTCAAAGCCCTTATCTATAATTTTATATAAAAATTCTCTTTAGAGTTTATATACAAAATTTTAAACGGGCAAATTAAAGTTTTTGACAAATTAAAGTTTCAATTAGGTCTTGTTAAAAAGTAAAACAGTAATGCTCATGACAATTTTAAGATATTTAAAGTCATTATTTTAAAACTTAATCATATTTGACATCCTAAACCAGCAGTTTTCCTATTTTATCATGCAGAATGCTGGTCACATTTTTGAGGATTACACTGTCTTCTGGAAATCCACTGTCTTCTCAAATAAAACACACTAAAATGAGACACATCAATTTATCTGAACTTTCAGCATATATAACTAAGTCCTATATTCATGAATTCAGTCTTAAACGTATTACACACAGCCCAAGGGAATACAGACACAAACACACACAGACCTCATACAAATGACCACATTTCATTCAAGGTTCTCCAACAGCTATCTGAAGACAGTGACACACAAGTGTTTAAGGAGGTAACATCAGCAAGCCATCTTATGGCACCTTCATATTTGTGCTCAAATATCAAAACACATTAAAAGTAAAAAATGAAAAAGGCACAAATAACAGTATTTCTAAATCTTAGTCTAAAGAACAGTTTTCCAATGGCTACATTTTTGAATTGCAATATTTAGAACCACTCCTTGCGTTCTGAGGAAAGCTTTGTTTAGGTGACTAGAGCTCTAACAGGAACAAACTGGTAACTTGTAAGACAAAGATCGCATTAGACAGAATCCGTACCTATTTTGACCAAGTTTTATATAATTTAAAAATGAGCGAAGTAGGTGGGTGAAATGTTACAATGCCACTCCGATAAGAATATATTAGCAGCTTTCATCACTGACTCAAGAACCTATGCTACTAAAATATGCATATAAAAATAAACACTGTATGACTCTGTGAGGATAATGGCAGGCATTGTATCGCCACAAAAGTGGACATTGCAGGTAACATTGATATTTGTAGAGCACAGTGTTTGACATTTTTGGTACAAAGTATGTTAGCAAACTAAAAACAAGAATCTTTATAAGGAAATCCTTAAGATTATCAATAAACATTTATAATGATCACTATATGGTATTACTACTGATTTCATTATGTTTAGAAATGTAGACCAAATTAATGAGAATCAGATTACAATGTGCCAAATATAGACTTCAGTATTTTTATATGTGACAATATATTTCACAGCTGAGTGGAATCTTTATTTTTTAGTAAGAGGATGGGAAAATCTTGTATTAAAAGTGTATGTATGTATGTATGTATGTATGTATGTACAATGCTAATGGAACAGGCTTCATACTATGATGAAATAAAGGGAGTAAATTTTTGCTTGTCATGATTCTCTTATACAGGGTGAAGCCCACTATCAGCTGAAAAACTTTTCTTCTATGACAAATAATTTGTTGCATTTTAACTTAACAAAGATGCAAACTAAAATATCTAAAAATATGATCTTTGCTTATTTGCTCTTGAGAACTATGCTTATTAGACATTTTATCAATGTAAGTATTTTAGGAATACTTACATTAACATCCAATAAAGCTATAGTAAAAAATAGAGTATATTTTAAAACCATAAGCTCAATTTCTTTGTTCTGAATTTTAATAAACGAATTACACGAATTTGAATATGGGTAATAAAGCTATATATGCAAACATACAGGCATATGCACCTGTTTTTCTAGTAACATTCTCTGTCTTTGCGTAGGAAGCACACTATCATGCTTTAGTCATATATGATCTGACAGTGACCACTTCTTCTTTAGGACAATGCATCAGAACACATCTCACAACTATCAATCTCCAAACATCTGGGTATTTAAAGCTAAGCTCATAATAAAGAACTGGCTCATAAAAAATTGATATAGTTTTTCTGTTCACATTATGCAAAATTTTAGCAATCTACAAGTTAGTTATGAACTGGCAGGAGAAAACAAGGGGGAAAACATCTTCTAGAGTGGCTGCAAACACTTTTGGAGAGCTCCCTACTTTCCCACACATCTCCTACAGGCAAACGTTATCCACTCATTGTTTAAAGGAAACAGATTGTACAGGACTCATTTATTGTTAAGTGCCTTTTCCAAAGTGTGGTACAACAGTAATAAATTCAATAATGACTATTCGAAGCCCAAATCAATTTATCTATAATCAAGCATATTTTTACGCATTATCACAAACATCCAAGTGGGCTCCGTGTGTCATATAAACTTTCAAATGTTAAAACATAATTCTATCTTATCAATCCTGTCAAAAGAAAAATATATATGTACCATTCATCATAGAAAAATTACACATTAAAAGTGCATATATATATATGTATATATATGTATCTTTCTTAATTGGCCCACTCATGAAATGTACATTTGGTCATCCTCATTTTAACATCTATTGAATTATTCTTTCAGCTATAAATCAATAGAAATGTAAAACATTAGCAAAAACCATGCTTTTTTTCTTATTGAAATCTTAACTTCAAATCATTTCTCAATCATTGAAAATGCACATAAAACCAGTTTCTTGAGCAATTGATATAGAGCTAAACACCAAAAATTTAACTAAAAGTTTAGGTCAACTCATGGCTTATCTGCCCATTGAAATGAAAAATAAATTAACCAGAGCAGTGCATGGCCATCACTTACCTCAACAATAACAGGCTCTTTAGTGTCAACAGAACTGAGACTGGAGGCGCCTTTGGCAATCTCCAAATCCAGGAGAACCTAGTTTTAAACTTGGAGATTGCATAGAACAAAACCTATAAAATTCTTTTGTTTCTAAAATAATGGAAGATCCTTTTCAAACTCAGTGTCTTCAGTCATCAATACTACTGCATTGTGGAGCTAGTGCAATCCTGCAAAGCCTTGGCAAACTGACAAGGCACAATAAAAAAATTAAACTACTATATGAACAAGAGAAATCTGAAGATAATTTAAGGCCTTGAAGTGAATTAATCAGTCTGATTTAAAGCTGAAGTAGAAACCACAAATTATCCACCTGAAAGAAAGTACTAAGCTTTTCCAGCTTCTATTCTGTGGACAAGAGACAGGAGCAACTGTGGCTTATGGTTTCTATTGGACTCCTTTTGGACCTGCGGAGTAAAGGCAATCAAATTTCCTACTGTCCGTGGAAGACTCAAGACTGCTTTAGTCGTTTGCGTGGAATACCAAACTGTGGACACTGTGCAGACGCTAGTGCTCGGAAGGCTTCTGCCACTAAGTGAGGATGAGACTGAATCATGGACTTCCACCCTGGTGTTTCCATAATGTCAGTTGCTTGGCTGAAATAGAAGATTAAGTGATGTTTACTAAAAGAATACTTTGCAAATGCATTGTTGAGTTATCACTTTTGCTTGCTTATCTTTTTTTAATTTGTCAATTTTGAATTTTAGATAATGTTCTACCTCTTTCCAAACATTCATCTGAATTCTTAAAAACATTATCTTGAACTTATTATTTCTGTCAAAACTGAAAAGGTTTGTCTTCATGTTTGAAACCTGGGAATGTGTACTTGTTCTCACAGCTCTCCACTCACTGTTAACAATTTCAATTCCAAGTACTTGATGATCTATTTTCTTCTTACCTCCTACAGGTCTTCTTTAGAGTTCCAGGTTTTCACTTACACTCTTTTCCTCTCACTACACTATATATTTTCCCTCATCTATTTGTTGGTGCGGGAGAATTGTCTGTATTCTGTCAATCATGTTTTAAATAAATGCTGATTGGCCAGGCAGGAGGTGCAGGCGGAAAAACCAGACAGAAAGTGGAAATGATGCAAAGAGAGCAGGAAAATTCTGGGGGGGAGGAAGTTGATTCCTCCCACTCCTGCCCAGATCACCAAAGCAGCAGGATGTGATCTGCCCCACTGAAAAAGGTACTGAGCCACATGGCTAACATAGAGCAGAAAAATGGGTTAATTAAGATGTGAGAGTTAGCCAGTAAGAAGCCTGACCTAACGGGCCAATCAGCATTATAACTTATAGAGATCTCTTATGTGATTTTACTTTGGGGCTAAAGAGCTGGGGGAACAGGGCAGGACAAAAACCCCAACAAACAAACAGGCCTCCTCATGTTACAATTTGTTACATTTTTAATGATCACACTCAGTCGATAGATACTGATAAGTTAAATCCTAGTGCTTCCCCACAAGATTCATCATTAATCATCTGCTCTTTTTTTATCTGAATGAGCCTCGAGTCTCACAGATTCAGCACTGCCACGCTCATCATCTTTCTCCTGAAGTCTCAGACTGTTTATCCTTCATTTTGGCTGAAGCTTTCACCATTGCTCGGTGATTTAATTTAAATATCTGGGAGTTATCCTAGAACCAGTCCTCTAATTAAGCATCAAAGTAACATTTTAATTCCAAAAGTCATCAAGAATCATAAATAAATCCTCACAATTTCACAACTGGATCATTATCACATTCTCCTAATTTTTGTCTTTAATCTCATGTCTCTTACTGCAGCTTCCATAACGCTCCTATAGCAACAGGAACAAGACTCTATTATACCATACTCTACCCTTCCCTTTCCCTATATTTAAGGTTTAAAAATAAGAAATGTTCAGGGAGGTAGTAGGGCACACCTTTAATCCCAGCACTCAGGAGGCTGAGGCAAGTGGGTATCTGTGAGTTTAAGGCCAATCTTGTCTATTGAGTGAGTTCAAGGACAGGCTCCAAAGCTACAGTGAAACCCTGTTTTGAACCCCCGCCTCACACACAAATGTGGTTCCATCCTCTTTCTTGCTTTCCATTCCACTTTTATGCTCCAGTTACTGTTACTATTTCATTTACTGTGTCCTTTATGCATAACATGTTCTCAGTGAGAAATCAGAGTAACTGGAAAAGGAAAACATTAGTTCTTTATCCTTTTCTTCGCTCTATTACATTATTCAACTTCCCTTTGCCCATCCGTCAATCTGCAGAAACAATGCTAAGAATGGAAAGGTTATCATGTTCAATCAGAGGCATTAACCATTACTGGAGATTCATTATTCTTCACGACACTGTCAAAAGTCCTAATGTTACACTCTTTTAAGGATCTGATCTTTGCTTGCTTTCTCTAGCTTTTATTCACTATCCACCTACTTCGCACACCCTTTACTCTGTTTTTCTATAGTATAAATGAAGCTAGATTCCATAATTCATTGCAATTACTTGCTTAATCAATCTGCTATACACCATAAACTACTTGCATAGAGGGGAAACATCTGCTATGCTTGCCTCCACATTCTCTGTACTGAGCAATTCTCTGTACTGGAAATTCAGTAAACAGATAATCATGCATCTCTATACAGGGCTATATACTTGTTTCGTGTAACCCCTTTCAGTCCGTCATTTCTGCTATTTCCTTCTGTTTCCTTTGATTCATGTTTTGAAATGAAGTTCTGCCTGATCTTTGAAGCCATTCCTAATCCCCATGGCTTAGTCAAATATCTATACATATCTTCTATCACTGCCATTTTAAAATACAGGGGTACATATGTGTGCATCTACCTCCATTAGATCAATTTCTTAAAAACAAAGAGATTTTTATCAAATGTCATTTTATATGCAGTTCTTTAAAGAAGTGCTCAAAATATAGTGAACGCTAAGTGTATTGAACTAACAGTAGCTGATATCAACAAACTACTATTCTTTGCCCAGCATTTACTACTATGCCATCATTGTTTAAAATTTTAACTAGTTGTTTAGGATCACATTGCTACTTATTAATTTACTTTAAACTTTTCTTTTAATGATTCAGTAAGTATTTACGGAACTGCACATAACACCAAAATGTATAATCACCTCTTATTCTAATAGAAGAAAAGTTGTATGACTTATTTTCTTAACAGAGTAAATAAATCTTGAAAAACTAAAACTAAAGCTATGCAATAAAGATCAAAGACAGCCATTGCTGCTAATGCACTATGTTAACTTCATACCCTGATAACCCTGTGGAGTCACACACTGGGCAGTAAACAGGACTCCCACAGACTTAAAAAAAAAACAAAAACAGAAAAATGCTATACTTTGGGAAAACAAAATTTACAAACTAATATGAAACTAACAGACAAATGCAATGGGAAAAAGTTAAGTAAATGACTATCTTTAATACTGCCCCTTTTAAATTATCTTTTATCAACTATCCCCCACCCCTTGCAATAATGTATTTTGTTATAAATATCACATAGTGGCCTCTAACTCAGTATGTCAGCTTTTGATAATTTTCAAAAGTAGTAAAATTTAGGAGTTTATGGGTAAAACTAATTAAAACTTTACAAAGAAATCTTTAATTCATCAATTCTTCCTTTTGCTAGCTCAAATAATTACAAAGAATACTCTATAAATAAGAGAAGAAAAAAATTAAAGATTACTTCTAATACTTTGCACATTTGATCTAGAATCAGCAGGATTTAGCAATCCCCCAACCTCTGAGCAATAAACATGCTACTGATTTACAATATCAGGCAGCTTAAAGTATAATGTAAGGTGTTTGGTTGATCTAAATAGTAGCAAGTTAGCTCTTAAGCAGCAAGTCTCTGAGAGTGATGATAGTCTAGAATGCACAGCAAGACCTTGATTCAAAAATAAGCAAATGCGTAACAAACAAACAAATAAGTAAATGAGTTTCATGGACCTGTGAGTCCTTCTAGTCTCACTATTTAAGACTGGAACAGGAAGAGTCAAATCTGAACCTATTCTAGAAAATTTACCAAGATCTTGTCTCAAAATTAAATTTCAAAAATTGTTAAAATTCAGGTAGCTCTGTGGTAGAGTCCCTGTGTAGCATGTGAAATCCAGGGTTCCATCAAAAAGCATTATTAAAATCAGCAAGAAAAATTAACAACTTCCAAGGAAAATCCTGAGGATGCAGTCTTCCTGAATGCTTTCTGAGAGGACAGATGCCAGATTTCTAGCAATTCTCATAATGCTTGTACTAAGCTGTACACTATATGACATTTGTGCATGTATTCAAGAAATTAAGAGCACCCATCCGTTTGGCTGAAAAGTCAAACTACAAGAAATTCACCAAAATCAGTCAAGTTACTTTTTTTCCCATAACTGGCAGTTAGTTTCATCAGGAGTCACACTTATTGTTCACGACAAAAGACGATACAAACACGTCACTGAACTCATGCAGACTGAGCTGATGTCATCTTACTTGTTATTCCAGTTCTTCCCATCCTTACATCCCAGTTGTCGAAGTACACTGCACCTGCATTGAAAATTTAAACAGGGTTTAAGAAAAGCCCACTGAAGAAATGCTAAATGTGTCACAGGCAATGAAATTCAAGTGTAGCTTACCTATTAATAAAGTCTATTGCCTGGGCTTTCAACTGTTCTGCACTGTGCAAATCTGCAAGGACAAGGGTATCAGCAACATTTTCTACTGAGAGGCTACTACACAAAGCTTCTTCACACATGACCTTCAGCCGTTCCAGTGCATACTACCCAAAAGAAAAACATAATCATTAAACATTTATTCCAGTTATTTAGGGTCTAAGTACCTGTTGTAACTAAGCAGATAAAGCTCAAGAAAATTTGGTTTGGACTAATGCTATTTTCAAATAAATAAACCACTGCTTTAGCTTATGAGGACAATGTAAATGAATACATTTAGGAGAAACACTAATTTGCTTTAGAAATCATTAGTGCAAAATATAGTGGATTTTAATGTAGGATTTTTGTAAGACCGCTATCTTAGTACTCAGTTATCCTAAAGAGTACATGGTCAAGTAAACATTTCTTGTCTTCTCAAAGAAAAGAACTCAGTTGAGAGAAAATTTAAGCTGTATTTTATTTAGTAAAAGAAAGCAAAGTAGTAAGCCTATTTCAAAGAGACCTGAGTGGGCCTGTGCTTAGGTAGGAGAAGCAGAACAGCAGTCTGCAAGATTTTGTACTGTGGATTTTTACAGTTTTTACAGTCTTATGACATTATTTTTAACTTTCTTCTTCTAGGTAGCACCTTCAGTTCATCTCACCATTCTGTGCATGGTCTAGAGCCAAGATGGCCTTGTTTTAAATTCCCTGTATATTAGATCTTCACTGGTGAGTGTATGTACCATAGTAAAAAGTGCCCTAAAATCTCAATTTCTTATTTCATGTGGAGAACCCAAGCCCCGCTTCAGACCACTGAAGGGCATCCTGACTACCAGGAGACAATAGTTACTATGGTTTAGCTAGCTACCCGCCTATTAAGTGTGAAAATACTAAACTACAGAAGTAGTGGTTGTCCGGAATGCTCTCCTGCTTCCTGCTCACACGTGCCACCAGCTAACTACTGTAACAATTCATTCTCCTTTCTACTACTTCAGACTCTGCATGTATCACATATTAATTTTTTCACTATTCAATCTTGAGTGATTTAATTGAAAGCTAAGTAAATATTAATAACCACTAATTTTGCAGTTCTTAATATAAAGCTGCAGTATTAGTAGTTGTATTGAGGTTTAATGACTATTATAAAATACACAGTATCCAGTTAAAGATTTTACTTTGATGATTTAATATCCACTGTAAACCCATCATCTACTGAAAAGAGTAAATATACCCTTTAAAGTCTTTCATCCCCACACCATTCCAGGCAATATTTATGATGTGCTACTGAGAAATTAGCTTGCATTTTCTGAAGTTATTTTTACAAATATAATCACACATTATGTACTCATCATCTAGCACTGCAATTCAATGTGACTATTTGCAGATTCATGCACAGCACTGCTTATAGTTCAGACCTTCTTCATGTTAGGTCATAGGGCATTAAATATGAGTATCTCTCTTCCCACTCGACACAAATCTGTGTGTGCATGTGTTTATGTGCATGTGTTTGTTTGCACACAAGTGCACACCAGCTACCTACTGTAAAAACTCATTTTCTTTTCTAGTACTTCACACTTGGCTTTTATCACACACTATTTACTTTGACACGACTGAGTCTTGAAGAATGACCACTGAAAGCTATGTTAATAATATAGTATGGACTCATTTTTAGGCCCCGCATACTTTCGTATCATGTAGATCTTATAGACAATGTTATGTCCATAGCATCCTACTTTATGCTATGTCATAAAGTCTTTAAGTTATTTACAAATAGCAACACTAAGTTATGTCAAAAGTTTTTAGAGTTTTTATGTATGCCAGCCTCTATAAGTGTAAAGTGTGTGGGGCTGCTGTTTGGTCATTAAAATACAATCACTTACTTTGTCTGCAGCTGCCAACAAGCTGTCAGCCATTTTATCCAGATTTGGTGCTTTTCCTGTGTAAACGAATCTCATCATTTCTTTAAAAACTTCAGGGTCTAAATCATTTATTTCCACGCGATTCTATTGTTGAAAATAACACATAAAAAATAGGAACAGGTACATATATGTGAATCCATATGGTTTATTTATTTTCACTAGATTCTAGTAATAAAAACAAAGAACAACAATACACACAAACACACACACACACAAACTAGGAATGGGTACATATGTGAATCCACACAAATCTTTGATAGTGATCAAAAAAACATATATTAACATTTTCAAATTCTATTTTTAAATCAAAGTAAGTAATCTGTAGTAACTTAATCATCCAAACCACAGTACAGGTAATTCTAACAATGAAAGCATATGTTTATTTTATAAGAGCTATGATCAGTCAGAAAGTAAATACATGGATAGAGAAAACATGTTAAGTATTATCATATGGTAAGCTTATGAATTTTTGTCCTAAAGTTTTCAAATGTTCTGTCTCGGCAGAGACACAGTTACCAGCCAGATGCAGAGGTAGCAAGATAAGAGCACCTCACTGATAAAAGGTACCAAGCCATGCAGCTGCACATGGACAAGAATTACAGGTTAATTTAAGATGTAAGAGCTAGCAAGAAATATGTCAGAGCCATTAGTCAAACAGTGTGTAATTAATATAGCTTTTGTGTGAGTACTTGGGTCTGGGTGGCCGGAAAATAAATGGCACAGTCCCCTTTTGCAGGTCTATGTTCCACAGATATCTGATATTTGACAAAGTTGCCAAAAACATATTGGAACAAACATGTATAATAAGTGATGCTGGGAAAATTGATATCTACATGCAGAAGACTGAAACTAGACCCTGCTTTATAACCTTGTTTGAGGGAGGAAGGAAAAGTGGTGTAGGAAACATACAGGAGAACACACACTTCAGGGAATCAAGGATCTCAACATAAAATGTGAATTTATGAAATGTCTAGATGAAGAAGTAAGAAAGATACTACAATATGTAGATGCAAGAAAAGACTGTATAAATAGGACCCTGGTTACTCAGGAAATAATGCCATCAATCAACAAGTAACTGCACCAAACATTTCTATACATGGAAGGAAAGTATCAAGCAAAGACACAGTCTACAGAATTGGAGAAAATCTTTAACAGCTTTACATCTAATTTAGAGTTAGAATGTAAAAAAAAGTTAAAAAAAAACCTAAAAATTGAAACAAACAACCCAATTAAAATGTGCCATGCTTTAGAGCAGAGAACTCTTAAAAGAAGAAACACAAATGACTAATAGAAGCAGTGGTCAACATCAGCCATTGAAACGATAAAATTAAAACTCCTTTGAGATACCATCTTACCCCATTCATAATGGCTACTATGGAAACAAAAGAAAATATGTTGAAGATGTGAGGAAAATGGAACCCTTTTTCACTTCTGGTGGGAGACCAAACTGATACAACCACTATGAAAATCTGTGTGGATGCTTCCAAACAAACGAACAAACAAACAAACAAACAAAACAAACCCTAATATAACTAACTGGTCTGCCACATGACCCAGCTGTACCACTCCTGGGAATATATACAAAGAATATATACCTGGCTACAGAGAAACTTATACATCCATGTTCATTGCTACTCTCTTCAAAATAGTCAGGCAATGTAAGCAACCTGGAGGGCCCATCAGCTGATGAGCAGATAATGAAAATGTGGTAAACATACAATTTGGAATTTTAATCAGGTGCAAGAAAAATGAAATTATAAACAGATGGATCTGGAAAATGCCATATATTAAAAGAAGTAAGCAAGTCTTAGACAGAAAAACTCCCCATGGTCTCTCTCAGGATTCTAGCTTTGAATTCTTAGACTGTGATGTTTAACTTAGAGAGACTATAGAAAGGGTCCATTAGTGGAAGTGGAACAAACTACAGGCCTAAATGGAGGGGGAGGGCAGCAGAAAGCATGTGCTATGAAAGTAGAGAGAGGAAATACTAGGAATGGAAAATTTTACTTTCATGAAGAACAAGTTAGAGAATACAGAAAAGTAGGTGAAAAGATAATCAAAAACAATGACATAAAGAAAAAAGCTCCACAAAGCCTATGATTGGCTATAAATGTGTGAACATAGGTACTCCAAAATGGGTGGCTAAAGTATATCACAGAAGCCAGAAATTACTCAACAATATTCCAGTGTGGTTCCTTCTCCTCCCTTTCTCTCCTTAAGGATGAAACACAAGGCTTTCTGCATAGAGGCAAGTGCTCTAGCAATGAGAACATCAAAATAGCTGTTACTTAGAATGTTCAGGGAGCATTAATATTGATAGGTACCTACTGTTTTATTTCAGAACACATTTTCCCCAGTTCTGTGGTTTCTAATGTTCTTCCCTGATATAACTTGAGAACAAGAACATGCACAGATATTTTTGATATGTGTACTCTATCATTATACATGTATACAAATTAATAACATTTTAACAACATTTACCTTTTTGCATTCTTCCATTTCATGTTCAAACATTGCACTGAAAACTGGAGATCGAGCTGTAACAAGAATAAACACCATTACTTAATGCACAAATTTATTTTTAAAATATTATATTATCCAAAGGAAAAGATACCTGCAAGCACAGACTTATGAGCTTTGAATTCTTTTCCTCTCACAAAAAAGCAGCAATCTGTAAATCTTGTGTTTTCCCAGAGATTACCTAAGTCTTCTGCTAGTCGACATTCTGGTACCTTCAAAGTGTTTGTATTAGTATATCCTGATACATTTACTGAATCCTGAACCACACTCACCTAATAAAGAAGAAAACAAGGAAAATATTTTCATACAGTATTTTAAATAGTCAGTTACTGTGTGTACATTTAATATTTTTAAGTTGAAGTACCGTGGTTAACTCAATACATTATTGACCAAAAATCCTAGTACCCTTTTAAATAAATTAGTAAATGAGAAAAGCATAGAAACTTAAAAATAACCTAAATATTTTTTCAATAGTGCCAGTGTATATAAAAGTAAATGGCTAATCAATTGATTAAAAAGTTAAATTATTACAATCACAAAATTATTTCCTAATAGAAACTCTACAATATCATCATCAAACTTGGCCAAGCTGACTTCTGTAGAGTAAATTCTGCTGTTGCTTCTCACTTACAGATCATTGTATTAACAATTCACTGTATTATACATACAATCTGTATGGTTTTCAGGGACATACAACTATTATTATACGGAAATTGGAAATTTGGGGTTGGAGAATTGACTCAACAGTTAAGAGCACTGCCTCCTTTTCCAAATGACCTAGGTTTGATTCCCAGCACAGACATGGACATCCTCAACCACTTGCAACCCCGTGGGATACAACACTGTTTTCTGGTCTCCCTGGGCAAAAGGCACTCTGTTGGTAGGGAGACACAGATGCAAAACCCCCACACACATTAATGAAATAAAACAAATATAAAAATAAAATTGGGTAACTTAATTTCAAGTTTCAAAATCAGTAGAATTGATTTAAATATCTGCTAAAATTGATTTAAAACTTTTAGCCACAAAAGTGACTGCAATTATCAAAGTTCATAATATTTTATGAAAAGAAAAAATGAGTTAAGTACAAATGTACTTTAGTTCAAATTGTAGGCCCCTCATTTATCTGTGAAATCATAAGTAAAGAGCTGGGATAACTGTGACACTGCTTTTATGTAGATCCCATTAAAGATCATTGTTTACTGAATCAAATCTTGCAACTTTCACATCATCTTTAAAAGAAAGCACTCCATAACATTATGCTGAAAAATTCATATTACAATAAATGACAACAAAAAAGAAGTATTTCAACTAGCAAAGCAAATAATTTAGAGCAAATGAATAATTTTTAAAAATTAACTTACATACAATATTTTAGTTATGCTTTTGAGTGCTAAATATTGGGAACATTTGTCATAAAGCAATAGATAATTTAATTCATTTCTTGAAAGTATAATTTAAGGATACACACATTAGGCTTTGGGGATGATTTAGGCGGTAAACTGTCTGCTATACAAACATTAGGACCAGAATCTGATCTCTAGCCCCGATGTAAAAAAAAAAAATTACAGTACCAAGTGTAATCTCAACACTGAGCAGGCAGGGAAGAGATACCCAGGTGCTTATCTTTCCTTATAACAATTCTGATCAAAGGTATTTATTACAATTTTATGAGAAGGTACTATAAATATGGGGGCCAAGCTATTATGCATACAAAGTCAATAGTAAGTGTCCTATTTTAAGACTTCCATCATTCAAATTATCTAAAATTTTAGTAACTTCAAGGAGACAAAAAATACTTCCCTGGTCTTTACTTGATTGTCCTATTTTATTATATATCAGTAGATCAGAAGTTAATGATACACATGGAATGTAATAAATACTGATATAAATAAATACTCAGGGTTTATTTAGGAATTTTTTTAGTATATGATGTATTTAATTGCTTTTATTAAGCATTACTCTTGAAATTTTTAGGTAGAGAATTGGATCTGTTTATTAACCTACATAAACTACATAGCAGTTATAAAACAGCATGGTAATATCTGATTTAGGAAAAGATTTATAATTGTGTGTGTGTGTGTGTGTGTGTGTGTGTGTGCTGCGAGTGCACAAGCATCATACTACCAATGTGGCAGTCAGAGGAAAACTTTAGGAAGTAAACTCTCTCCTTCTACCTGTTTCTGAGATTGAGTCGGTCTTGTAGTCAAGTTGTTTCAAGATAGACCACAAATTTTGGTCTGATTCTCCTATCTCAGACTTTCATTTGTTATAGAAGTGCTGGACCACAGGTACATGCCACCATATCTGACTTTTTACGTGGGTTCTAGTAATCAGGCATGCGCGTGGCAAGTGATTTTACCCACTGAATCATTTTTTTGCGCCCCAAGATAATATATTTAATGTAAAAAGTATACGGAAAACACTCAATAAATAGATGACAGAGATAGATATAACTAAGAATGAAAGAAAACAGACGTTATCATCATAGATGTGAAGCACAGCTGCATTCTGTGTAAACAATCATTATTAAAGGACTTGTATTCCTCTTATACCTACCTAGTGCTATCAAAGCAATGACACATTTCAATTCAGATGGAAATTAATGACCTAATTAAAATTGAGAAGTGATGGGTTCATTATTCTGATATCTAAAATTTGAAATGATAAAAATATTGAGAACTTTATTTATGGAACCTAGAGAGAAAAATTCAGGAAGAAGGCTGAGATTTTCACTGACTTAATAAACAGGACAGTTCTCTTACTGGTGAATCTTGCCACTGATTCACCTTAAGGATATAGCAGAAAACAAAGAAGAATGTTTGAGCAGGATAAGTGAATGTGCATCTAGCTAACAAATCTAGTTCTTCTCTTCTGTGGAACTGAAGACAATACTGGTTCTACTTTTTAAAAACCTGAACCCTCTAAAAGCCATCCTAAAAGCAAGATGCTACTAAAGCCACAAAGGACTACAATGCTGTCTCTCTAATCAACCACTTGCTTACTCTATACTCACTACAAAGGCAGAAACTTTTAAAAGTCCAGTTTAATGTATCTCCTAGAATAGGTAGATAATAAGAGTTTGCACCTTTCAATAGCCATTTTAAAAGTTCTGGTGACGGCAAGAGGGTAGTCACGTTTTCATTTCTCACAGCTAAGAGTTCAGAAAACAAAACCCATCTTCCATTTATTACCGTGTTTTAAACTGTCAAGTCAATCTGATACTTCATAAAAAGGAAAAGGTTTTATTGTTTTCTTTAAATATGTCCTTTAGAAAGAATGAGGTTAGCTTTATGAAAAGCTTCTCATATATTTTAGCTATACATATATTTCTCTGTTTATCAAGCAATACCATAGATCTGTATACTATCAAGAAAATTTAAAATTTTTAAAGTTTCAAAAGATGAACGAGTCTGACCCGTGTTCCCTTTCTCTAACTTACTCTCAAGTCTCACTTGTTCCATTGCTTGGAAAAAGGAAGTAGAACGGTTTACACTGTTGGAAATTCTCATCTAACTCTTGCCACATGAGCCACTACACAAACTGCAAGACTTAGCTATGTCTTGTGTAAAAACAGGTAGCACCCAGCTGCCTTACCTGTCTACAGCACCACTTGCAGTGGAGGGGGAGGCGCCAGTTCTCTAGGGAGGGCAGTGCAATGCTTCCTCCTCTTCTGCAAGCAGTGTGGAGATGCTGTAGAAGGAAGGGCATCCGTGAGAGGAATGGAAGGAATGATGGAGGGCACAAAGAATGTTGTTTTAAAGGTGATTTTTGCCCACCTATGCCCTAGTGTCCAAGAGATCATGTCTGGGCTAGTGATAAAAATGGGATCTGATCATTACCAACTTAAAACCATGTGTCATCATACATTCTATGAGTCACCAGAAATATTATTTAGCATAGAAATAACAAAATTCAAAATGTATACTTGAATAATCCTAAAATTAATTTCAGCCTTAATTCTGAATTTATTAATTGTCTAGGTTCCAGTACATACACTCAAAAAATACCTATTATCAAACACTATTTCAGGTCTATAATACAGATTACTTAGATTATTTTCTAAAAATGGTTCATTCACTTACTCAAGACTCTCAGGTTGTTGCTTGGTTTTTTTCTTTAATACATTACTCAGATAATCTTTAAAGATCATTAAATTCTAAGATAACAGTTTAAAAACATTTTTAAATTAAGGTAAACTCTAAAAATTCTGGAAGAGGTTACATTAAAGGCAAACACTTGAACAGTATAACTTCTTTTATTTTATAAATAAAATCTGTTATTTTATTATAGCAGTATAAACTTTATTCAAAATACTACTTAAATACCTCCTAATTGTAAACAAATGCTACAGTTTTTTTCCCTTGAAATCATAAGAAACTACACAAAGAATTGTATTTAAAACAAATGAATTGTATAGTTCTATATGCAAGTATTTCTCTATGGTCTCATTTCAATTCCAAATATCTTCAGTATGATACAATACAATGACATGCAGTTGGTAATCTTGAAAATATGACCTTTGGGTTTACTCCACAAAAATGAATCTAATCATTTCATACGAATAAGTCTACCCAATGATAAAAATGACAGAAGTAAACCCAAACGAAAAATGAACACAAATCAAGAGTAAATTTCAGGTATAGGAAATGCTCATAATTTTCAAAATATGATGTTTTATGAATATAAATTAAGCATGTATGTTTGTCAAAATATGTGGGCATATCATTAACATCTCACATTTGTTTTTTAGAATATTAACACCTATTTTACGATGTTAATCCAACAACTTGAAAGTTTTCCAATGTTTTTCACATGCTTTTTAGTCAAACAAACTATGAGTACTAAAGTTGAATCAGATTAACCTAAAAACTGGTTTCTTATATCAGAGTATTCAGAATGAAGAAGATATTAAATAAACACAACAAAGATAGGCAAGTCCAGCTCCTTCAATAGGAAGGGTTTAGTATGTGGTAGGCATAACTATACAACTAGAGACGTGATAAAAATTACAGAACATCACACTAATTTATAAGATAATTTTAGTCAGCTTTTTATGCTGAATTTACAAAAGAATTTATGAAATATACCAATCACTTTAATTTCAAAAGTATTAATCTAGTTCATATTTTTGCCACATTACTAAATAAACCATGGAATTCTTTATTAATAAAAACATACCCACCTCACAGAATAGTGTAAGCTTGTCATCTGGTAAGAGACCATTGGCTTCATCAAGCAAAAAATCCCTTCTAATGAATTTTTTAAATCCCCAGTCTTTCCCCTGCACAAATCGATAAGCTCTTTGGCTTTCTGGTGGAAAACAGAAGTTTAAATAAAACAAGTATCAAAAATACATTTTTCCTTAATGGTAAAGAAATATAGATGTACAGGACATAGATAGAATATTCACTGTGATTCATTAACCATGTGTATAAATAAAGTGCCAAGGAGAATCAAACCACTTCATTGTTGCTCAAAAGTTTGTCCAGTCAATGAACTTAAATGAAGATTTCTGACTCTCCTAAGCAAAGACATCATATTTGATAGAAGGAAAGGACATATACAGACACACAGACACTCATTTTCTCTTTGTCTGTCTCTCTCTCTGTCTCTCTCTCTCACTATGTCTCTCTCTCTCTCTCTCTCTCCCCCTCCCCACACACAGAGCGAGCTTGCCTAGATGAAATAAAATAAAAACACACTAACATAAGCATAAGTAGTCATCATCTAATTTGAAAACTCAGAAAATATCTTATTTCCTGTTTCTCCCCTTAAAACTAGGTGCTCTGATTCATTAAGAATTTTATTTGTTTCTTTGTTTGTTTGTTTTTCAAGGCAAAGTTTCTCTGTAGCTTTGGAGCCTGTCCTGAAACTAGCTCTTGTAGACCAGTTTGGCACAGAGATCTCGCTGCCTCTGCCTCCCGAGTGCTGGGATTAAAGGCGTGTGCCACCACTGTGCGGCCCTCATTAAGAAATCTTTCAAGTTCTGCTGGCGAACCCATCCTATTGATTTAAATTTGCTGAATTACAGAAAACTTCAAATTGGCGAGAATGCTAAAAAGCCTCTTGCCATTCCCAAGATTTTAGAAATAATCTCATGGAATATAGTTTCATACATAACAGGGCAAAAGATGCTTTTAGTATAATCTGCAAAAGACTTCGATATAAGGCGTTTCAAACATCTTAGGTACTGCTCAACTGTACACTATGAAATACACAAGATACTCATCAAAAAGTATTCATTATATAGTATTATCTATACAATCAGGCTATGACTTAACTAAAATACTCTATTTTAAACATCACATAATATGTAAGCATAAATATTAAGAAGCTTAAGTGTAATGAAGTTATTTGGTTCTTTGATTCACAATTATTTACAACTCAGTGTGACAGTTTACAGCCATTCCACCTTCTCTGTATTGCTGTGTAGCAAGAAGGCAAGGGAGGAGAAATTTTCTAATGACATGGACCAGAAATACTGTTTCAACAGCAACTATTTTTCCAAGAGACAAGTGAAATGTCACTTTATGATTCGAAGTAGTTAGTTTAACATTATTTTAAGTACTTCTCTATGTCTACAGAAGCTAAAACTTCACAATGTGAAATGCACAATGAAATAATGGCTACAGATAAATTTTTGGACTAAGAAAATTTGAGGAAGGAAAATAATTCAAAACTTTCTAGGTAAAGTCACTATATGTAGATAAAGAGACTCCTTCCCCCAATTTGCCAATCACTTACCCATTGCTTTTGTTTCTTCCCTTTTAGCATTCAGAAGGGAAAATTTGAATTTTGCTCGAACCTCACTTTTTGGGCAGCTGACTAAGAGCAAATACAAGGACAAGTAGTCTTTACTTTCATCATCTAACCCCTTTGGGTTTACCCTCAGGCACCTAAAATAAAACAAGAGGTCACTTAGAGGAATTTAGTATTTGATTTTAACAAAAAGACGGGCAATGCTGAAATCACCTGCAAATTAATATCCCAACAGCACTCCTGTAATAACTCCATGTTTTTTCAATTTCTCCATTTTAATAGAAATTAATGACTAATTTAATGTAAAAATTATACTAATATCCATAGAACCAACAACATCAATGAACCAAAAGTAAGAAAAATACAGTTAAAAATATAATAATATTGCTTACCACTTCATTTTGTCATTTGGGCCAGAAGAAAATGTTGAACTCTTCAACACTTCACCCATTTCTTCGCGACAAAAGCTGAAGTTATTAATAGTCCACATGTAGGAAAATTTCACTACCTTAACCTATGAGATCAGAAAGCCACTTTTATACGCATGACAATCTCTTATCACAATTCAAATATTCATTCTAATCTTCTACTGAAAATGTCACACTGTTTCACATTTTACATAAACTTGTCATAACCAGAAAATTTATGAAACAAGCATCAAATGCATTTTAAAAGGCATGTACCTGTGTGTAACACCAGCTTTCTGCAACAGGGCTAGGAGACATATCTCCAGACAGAGATGGAGTAGGTTCCATAGACATTGCCACTTTATAAGAAGCTTAAGATTCGTATATTATCTCACAAACTGGAGTAATTTAGCTACAAGGAAAAAAATAAATTTATTGATCAACCTTTGAGAAAATTAAGAGAGAGAATATATTTAAAGTTGAGAAAAATTATTATTAAAATTAGATATGAAGGGACCCATGAAGTGTTAAAATAATTTTATAAATTTTTAATAAATTAAACCATAAACATCTGTCAACCAAAATAACTGAAATCTAAACAAGATAAATATTTACATATGACACTATTTTTCAAAATATCACAAATTAAAAATATCCACGTAACATAACATGTTATAGAAACTTAATGACATCAATGTCTAATTCAGCTTCTGCAATTAACTTACTGAAGTCCAAAGGGCCATGAGCAAGTTATCGCAGTACGTACTTGTCATCCCTGTTCTTATCAAAGAACAGGCTCTACAACAGTCTACAGAGAATTCCAACAACCTGGCTGTGTACTAAGACTGTAGCTCTCTCACAGTGTTTCCTTCAGAGGTGTACTGAATCATGTACTTCCCTTCTAGTTATCTGTTCCTGTACCAAATCAGTTTGGATGCACAATAATCCATCTATCTGAATGTAGCTGAACAGCATTTGTTTGAGATGATCTTCTTTCTCCAATGTGCACTTTTTTATTTTTATTTTTATTAAAAATTTCTACCTCCTCCTCTCCTCCCCCTCCCACTCCCCCTCCTACTCCAGGTCAAAGAGCAGTCAAGGTTCCCTATGCTATGGGAAGTCCAAGGTCCTCCCCGCTCCCCCCAGGTCCAGGAAGGTGAGCATCCAAACAGACAAGGCTCCCACAAAGTCCGTCCATGCAGCAGAATCAAAGCCCAGCGCCACTGTCCTTGCCTTCTCAGTCAGCCTCCACAGTCAGTCACATTTAGAGAGTCCGGTTTGATCACATACTCCATCAGTCCCATTCCAATCTGCACTTTTGAAATCTGTGCCAAAATTCAGTTGGTTGTAGTCGTATAGGAGAACTTTAATACACTAAAGCAATATATTTCATTACTGTTGAACTGTGTTCTTGTCTTCAGTATTCTAACCTTCCATTCTCCTCCCCTCCTGTGATTGTCATTGTTGATGTTATTGAATATACTGTACTATGTAAGAACAATGACAACCTACTTCTGATTTAAGAACTGATAAAGAAACCACATAAATCCTATGGAGGGATATACCTTCAAGGAGACAAATCCTTCAATAAAAAGAGACATAATTTTCTCTAAAACTATTGAACACTAATGCAAGTAGAGAAAATGAAGACTGAAGTCACTTGAAAGACTGAGAAAGAAATAAAGCTATACAAGTTAAACCAGCAAATAAAACTGGGAATGAAGAAGCCTTTTAAAACTCTACAACAGAGATAGGAAGCGGGAGCCAGGGATCACTGTGCAGAGCTGGAGCCCTAGGCAGAGAGCAGCAAAGAAACACAGCCTGGTCTACATGGCAAATTCCAATCTCCTGTCTCAAAACTAAAACAAAGAAAACAGAAGGAGGGAAAGGAGAAAAGGCAGAAGTAGTGAGAGGGCAGTGGTGATGATAACAGAGCACAAGGCAGAAGACTGGAGGAAAGGAGAGAACAAAAGGAGGAAGGCAGGAGAATGGAAGGTGAGGACACAAAGAGAAGAACCCAGACAACAATAACGAAGAATATTATTTTAAAATATTCAACTTCTGCCATGCAACTACAACCAACTGGTTTTTGATAAAGACTTCAAAAGTAGACACTGGAGAAAAGAGAACATCTCAAACAAATGCTGCAAGAAAATCTAAATATCTACCTGCAGAAAATCGAAACTTCAAAGACAAATAAATAAATTCTAAATGGACCAAAAGACCAGGAACTGATACTGCTACATAGAAAAGTAGTAAATACATGTCAACATGTAAGTACTTTCCGACAAAGACCCAGGCCACTCAAGAAGCAAAATCAACAGTGGGCAAATGGGACTTGATGAAACCAGAACCTTCTGTACATGACAGGGAGCTGTGTATTAACTGTACATGACAGGGAGCTGTTATTAACTGAAGAAGCAGCCTACATAAATACAGAAAATCTTTGCCAACTACACATTGGACAGAGGACAAAAAAGTAAAACAAACAAACAAAAATGTTAAATACTGTGAGAAAACAAATAACTGACTATGGAACTGAAATTTTCTAATGAGGACATATAAATGGCCAAGACACGCTTTGAAGTGTTGAACAATCTTAGCCATTCATCAGAGAAATGTACCTTAATTTCACTCTATTGAAAATGGCTAGTATCAAGGGAGGAAAAAAAGATACTAGATGCTGGCCTGGTGTGAACACAGGGATAGAGAAAGAGAAATACTTATACATTCTGAGTTGGGATTAGAACTAGTATAGTCACTATGGATATCACTACATTTTTCTCAAAAAAAAAAACTAAAAATAAAACTAATTATGACTTTTTCTAGGCATATACTCACAGATTCTGTCCTAATACAGGGACACTACATCCAGGTTCCTTGCTTCTCTAGTCATAACACCTAGAGAATTAAATCAGCCTGGCTATTGATCAACTAATAAATGGATACTATCATTGTGCTAAATATAAATAACAGAACTGTATTCAGCTGTAAAGAAAGATAACATTTACTGGAAAATGAAAGAAACTGCAAGATATTACAATGAGTTAGGTAACCCAGGCCAGGAAGATACAAATGCTTCATGTTCTTTCAGAAATGGATAATACTCTTGAATTTTCAGACAGGTGTGTATAGCTTGGAATTACCTACAGAGTCCAGAAAGTTAGAAAAGGATTACTGGTAAGGGAAAAAATACTCTAAGGGAGTTGGGTGTGGGACAGAACACATATTATATGAAGATAGAGGGAAGAAATACTGGGGATAAAATGATTTAAATGAGAGATTAAGGGAATGGAGGACAGATAGGGTGGGAAGGGAAGGTTAATCAAATTAATCAATTTGTTAATCAATTAGTTAATCAAAACTAATAATTTATGAAGAAACAACTACTTTTCAGGATAATTAAAATAATCCCAGCACTTGGGAGGAAGAGGCAGGAGGATCTCTGTGAGTTGGCGGTCACACTGGTCTAACATTACACAGAGACCTTGGCACATTCAGGCTCCCCCAAAAGAATGTATTCATCAAATCCCTCCCCGCCTCAGTGCTCAGGGAACCCCTCAGAAGAGGAGGCAGAGAGAGTGTTAGAGCCAGAGGGGATGGTGGATGCTAAGAAAACAAGGTCCTGTAAATCAACATAATCAAAGATCATATGAACTCGCAGAAACTGAAACAGTATGCACAGGGCCTGCACAGGCCTGTATCAGATCTGCTGCATACACATTATGGATCCAGTTTAGTGCTTTCATGTGATTCCTGACTGTGCAAACGAGTAGGTCTGACTCTTGTGCTCCCTTTTTTCTGTTGGTTTGTCCTGTCCAATTCAAATATGATGTTTTTATCTTATCTTTGTTATTCTGCTGGCTGCTTTTATGTCACCTTGACACAAGTTAGAATTACGGGAGAGGAGGGAGCCTCAACTGAGAAAATGTGTCAAAAATATGGGGCTGTAGGCAGGTCTGGTGGGTACTTTCTTAGTGATCAGTGACAGAGGGCCTAGCCTATCATAGCTGGAACTTCCTTGCATAGGTCCTAAGTGTGTAAGAGAAACCCAGCTAAGCAATTCAGTTGAAGCGAGACAGTAAGCAGCACACCACCTCCATGGCCTACGCATCAGCTCCCACCTCCAGGATCCTGCCCTGTTTGAGTTCTTGCCCTAACTTCCTTCAGTGATGACAGTAGTGGTGAAGTGCGAATCAAATAAACCTTTTCTTCCCCAACTTGCTTTCTGGTCATGGTGTTTCATCACAGCAATGGAAACAGAAACTTGGTTATATTTTATCATTTTCTCTTAGAAGCCTGTTCTTTCCTGAGGAATGACAGAAAAGGAGGTGGATCCGGATACGAATGGAGGTGGGAAGTAACTGTGAAGAAGAGGAAGGGTAAATTGTAATCAAGATATAATGTGTAAAAAAATCCATTTCAAAAAAATGGAAAAATTTGAGGAAAAATATTAATAAGTGTCCCTAAAGTAACAGCCAATCTACAGAGACTAAAGGTTTTATTTTATTTTGAGAACTTAATATTCAGGCACTGCATTTGCATCTTTCCTGCCCCTCTAGATCTATGATCACAGAAACCAAAGTCTAAAGTCTCTCTCTCTCTCTCTCTCTCTCTCTTTCACACACACACACACACACACACACACACACACACACACACAAGCCCAAGCAAATAATATCTAATCAAGAACTGGGTGGCTGGTCAAAAATTGTTATAAATGACCAGTAACATACAACCTTGAAAAAGGGTCAATTCATAAAGAAGTTATAGTATGTTATTTGCACGCGCACACACAGATTAGAAACAAGAACAGAACATTCTCTACTAATAGATAAATATATCATTACACAGAAGAACAAGTCATAAGAAGATGACTTTAACAGGAGTATAAAGAATCCGACCTATCAGTCATTTCAGTCCTTAACAGCTGAAGTCCATAAAACAATTCAACAGATTTTAAGATTAAGGTCATATAAAGTATTCCCTCTGATTAGAGTCAAACTAGAAATTTATAACAAGTGAAATCCATAAATATGTGAAATTAAACAATAAATGGAAAAAATTCACAAGAAAAAAAAGAGTAACATAAATATACCATAGCTCAGGCCATGAGGTGACAGCAGTGCTCAGAGTTAGGAAAGCAGCTGAACACATGCATTTAAAAAGTTTTAAGACCATTTTGCACCAGGAACACTCCACCTTGCCCATATATCATAAAGACACATAGAGGCTGCTGAATGCCCCTTGCCAGCCCTCTTCTATTCAGGTTACCCCTAATCTCCATAATGGCTTGCCAGGAACATCACTTCCTATTACTCTCTCTCCTTTCCTTTGGGACTCCCCAATTCTCAGCCTGCCCCCATAAAGCACTCTCCAGGCACGGCTGAAGAAACCCAGTCAACTCACTCA